GACCACTCTCCTCTTTTAGTTTTTTTCTTGTATGTACGTACCATTGTTTTACCTGAAAAGTAAAACCACGTTAGTCACGTACCTATTTATCAACATAGGTATCTCAACGAAGACCTACTTCCCCATGTTGCCCCTATACCCCATCTTACCCCATACCCAATGCCCCGTGTTGCCCCAAAGGCTGAATTAGTAAAAAAATATTTCTTAAAAGAAACTGAACATTTATCCAACTAGGTATACCCACCTTCCACAATATGAAAAATATGAAAATGGTAATGGGTAACTACACACGTGTAAAAAAGGCAAACTTTTTAGTTTACTCCGATAAGCTACGGAGTGAATTCAAAGTATTCTTCACAAAAAAACTGTTTTATTCATCAGTACTTCGTTGTATTCAATAATTTTGCCTATCATGAGAAGAGCTAAGAAATCACACAATAGTTATCTTAACTTTTCGGAGGCCAAAATCTGCCTTCGAAATAATCTCATTGCAGATCTATACACTTTTCCCAGCGACGTTCAATAAATTTGATACCGGTTTCATAATAATAATTCAATAATGATGATAATATATTTTATTGTCATTAAGAATAAATCTTGTGGACAAATCTTCAAAGTCAAAGTCAAAATATGCTTTATTGTCTGAAGATTAACATCTTATCGACAAAGCATGTTATTGCCACAAAAAGTTGGGTGGATGTCTGCAAGGTGCTCAACGTAGATTTCACCACTTTATCCATCCCCATGTATGTATCCATGTATATGCATCCATCAGAGTTTGTATTTGGCAGCAGCTCGTGTGTGATCCAATTCTACGACTGAGCTCAAGGAGCCAAAGGAACTATAAAGGTTTCCGGTGTCAATGGGCGGTGTGTAGGAGTGATATACGCTCCCGTATAGGAGCGAGAGACGTGAAGCTCCCCGTGTGAAAGAGCTCTAACTATCACATGCCTCTCCGTCCAATTCGACAAGTCTTCTGTTGAATATTCATTATTGTAACCCATTTATAAGAAAATTCAATTATTATTTCAATGTACCTTCAATCAAATTCTACAGTTGGAGTTTCGTGGTAGCCGTGATAGTAGTTAGGTTAGGTTAGGTATAAAGTGAGTGGGTTTATTCGACCCTTCACCGCAACTCGCAAGGGTTTATTGTGGCTCACACCTATTCACACTCGACCAAATTAAAATTAATAAGATTAACCGAAAATAACAATTTTATCAAACAAATAACTGAAATTACAAAGAAATAACATACAAGCAACAACCAAACAAATGAAAATTGAAATAACAATAACAGCTGAAAATTAAAAAAATCAAAATATTGTTAACAAAAAGTAAAAATTGAAGAATTTTCAAACCAAGCTCTGTCACAACGTTTCGATTATTAGTATTCACAATCGTCTTTGGGTAATAACTGGGTTATCACCCAAAATATAAAATGCATAAAATATTGTCAACGAATTTGGTACATGTTGGAATTTTACTACACGATAATTTAGCTGATCACCTCAGGTTTTCAAAAATCGTGAAAAGAATTTCTTTGATGATATAAAAATGAATGTTGAAATAACCACTTAGTAGATCGAAATTATTATTTCAGATTCAGCAACAAGCTGTTGGCAAATCTCATTCATCTGTTCATTTATTGTATTCAATTTTTCACACCGTTATCTTACAGCCAAACTGATATGATAAATTACTCCACTCAATACATGGATAAGATAATCGTTTAGTGAATTTCGATTGTAGACATGAGTAACATCTGATTAATGAAATTCAAGTAAAATATATTGTGCAAGGCACATGAATACATTTTGGTGAGTTTTTCAATTCATTCATATTGTTATTGGTACAGATTCTAGCCAGTTGAGAAAAAAATTTTGAAATGTCATCACGAAGTACAGAAATTTTTATTTTTTATTACATTTGTAACTGTCAAGACAGTAAAACAATTTAGACGTTTTATCTTCCATTCAAAAAATTGTGATATCGATATTCGTACTTTTTTATAGGTATTTTTCATATTCACCTCATCGGAAGATACTTCGATAACCAAATGTTGAATAATAAACAATCAAATACTGCTTGTGTATGAACCACAGAACTTCATAGAAATATATTTCATAAAAACAATCCTTCCACACCCTGTAACTTCGAATTTGTTGTAAATTTCAATTCGAATGTTTATTAACGGTGAGAAATTTTGTCAGTCAAAATTCGTACATCATGTGTTGACTGAGAAAGTAGTTTCCTCCAAAAAATGTTTATTGTTGAATACAAATAATACTCCATGACAATCAATACTGCTAAAAGTAGGTAGGCGCAATTACATTTCTATTTCGGAATTGATGACAATGCAAAGTTATTTCCCTTTGTCCGAGGAGTAATCCGACTTGCAAGATTTGGGTATAAGTTGAATTCCCCAAATATTTTATGACTGTGTAGTGTCTGAAATAATTTTTGCATTATTTAATCATCCTTGTGTTGGAGAAAGTTGCCCAGATGTGTCCATACCAATTTGTTACCAATTATAAGGTGGTTGTGCATCAAAAGTGATTCAGCATGAAGATTAGTTCATACATTTCGGTTTTGGAAAAAAATTACATAAATACATTTTTCATGGGGTACTATATGAATATAGGGCAATGAACAAAGGCTATACTATGAATATTATGGAATAGTAACTATTTATTCAGTATGGTATATTATGAAACATCCAACATGCATACCAATGTCACATCTAGTTTGTTTTTCTTGGTGGATGACTGAATGTTCCATTCGATCAAATCGCAACTCACAACTCATACTTTTGAAAAAATATGTCTCCAAATATTGTTTTTTCATTAACCAGCTGAGGCACCTCTACGAACAACAGCCCTCAGAAGTCGAAACTTGTGCGAGCTAAGGACTAACGAGGTCTTACGTTTTACGTGTGATTCCTAATACGGATTGGACGATAACAGGTGGAAATCGATTCTTCAGCCTGCAGCTTGAACCACCGACTCACACATCGGTCGATTGAAAGAGTAAACAAAGCACCCTCATCGAACCGCATGGCTACCGTTTGTTTAATGCATTCTTTTTCATTTAGGGTGAGTAGGGTATCAGCTACACTTCATCAGAAGAATAGCTGATCCATTACTCTTTCAGAATTTTCATACAATTGCCAAGCATTGTTTACTGCCATGTAAATAATGGGAAGTATAGGCGAAGTAAACGATATTGTGCACACTCAAAGTTGACGGCACTCTCAAAGGCCAAAAAAATAACAAATACATAGAAATGAACCAGCTGCGAACTAGTTCTCGTGGACTGTAGAATTGACGGTTCGTATTGGATAATTTTAACTGAACGAAGTTCATGATTGTCTGAAGAGTCATAAAATTCAATTTGAAGTCTTGTTACGGTAACAAATAGAAATCGGGGAATGCGGAAATGGTTATCGCCGTCGTGTTCAGTTCAGGAACTGATCGCGATTCGAGTGTTGAAATTCGATATTGGTGCAGTTATAATTACTTAAAATTTTTGTTATCTGTTTAGAATGTGGCGTCCTTGGACAAGTACTAATAGTAATAACGAGTGTGATAACAACGCAGACTTTTTCCAGTGTAGTGATAATAGCAATGGTGAAGAATGCGAAAAAGAGATACCAGTGAGAGATACTAGTGGATGCATTTGAATATTGAAACACAGAGTATGTTTCAATGTATATAAGCATCTACATCTCAAGTTTGGTTTCAAGCAACATAAGATTTGACTAAAATACCTTTCTAAACTGTACGTAAAATAGTCAAAAACATATCTTATTCATTTATTTATTTATTTCATACACTATTCTACAGGATAAACCCAATTACAGAATAGGGAGTAACAGTGGCATTTACAAATATGTACTTACATAATATAATTTGTGAATCTATATAAAAAAAAAATAAAAACAGAACTGTCAGTTAGCTAAGAAATGTCTTTTGATTTGTATAATCTGGCAGTTGAATATATCTAGGACATGACTAACAGAATTAGAGGTATCGCACATTGTATAAACTGGAGATTTTTTCATTATATTTGTACGCGGAGTGTTGAGATAAAATGTGACACTATTCCTAGATGACCGTCTAGAAATCCAAAAATTCAACATATGTAACAGTTGAGAGCAGGTGATGATATTGTTCATGACCTTGAATAAAAAAAGGAATGAATAATGAAAAGAGAAATGAGATTTTTTTTGTTTTTTACCACTTTTATTTGTAACTAACGTTACTGCAGTTTCGTCCTATATGGACATTCACAAACTTATAGTGTATAATAAACTAAAATAAACTCAGGGCACTAACACAGAAACAACAACATATCATACACAGCGAATCAGTCGAACCTGATATCCAGTTCAGCGAAAGAATCATCAACTTGACCAAAGTAGAATGTAACAAAGAGGAAATTTCAATAATGTCCAAGGGGCCAAAATATACACCAGCAATAATTGATAAAAATAGTTTGGATACGTTGATAATAGATATAGCTATTGCATTGAAACTGACAGATAATAGAGATATAGGGGCATACAAGATAAATGAAGTAATTCAGAATCATCCATTCTCTTTATCAAACAGTAGGGAAACCGGCATAATAAAAATTATACAACAAAAAATAAGAAATAATGATCTTGTTTTCACGAAAGCTGTTAAATCGAATGCCATCGTTATCCTTGAACGAGAAGCGTATGTTTAGAAAATTGAGTCAGTCATTCGAGATGAAAACCTCACTGTAATCAAGAAGTCAAGAAATAGTCAAAATGAACTGAAAAATTTTCTCTCAGATACTATAATCATTTTCACGGAATCAGAGAAACGGAGAATCACCAACATGAACCTTTCTTGCCCTAAACTGTATGGCCTGATAAATACACATAAAGAGGATAACCAAATAAGACCGGTAGTTTCGTATATAAATAGTCCGGTAATAGAACTAGGAATATGTCTTAACAAGTTGTTCAAAAATATTACCAATTCAGTCCCACGTCACAGCATTGAAAATTCACTGACTTCAGTAGAAAACATAAAGAACCAAACCACGCCACATAATTCAATTTTAGTTTCATTCGATGTAAAGAGAATGTTCTCTAACATACCGTATAACGAGTGTAAGCCCCTCATTTTAGATATATTAGATCAAGCCAAAGTAGACCATATCCCTTCCTTTGAAGTTTCAACAGCTTTCGATGTGTGCCTGAATCAGAGCTACTTACAGTTCAACAACAAATTCTATAAACAGGATTCAGGTTTACCATTGGGCTCACCCCTTAGTCCACTTTTGGCACACATATTTATAAACAACTTGGAGACCACTATAGTAAACTCCGACCTGGGTAAAAACATATTCATTTTTGGTACAGATATGTAGACGATATTCTTGCCTGTTTCAGAGGTACTAGAGTTTATTATATAAGTTTGAGAATGTCCATATAGGACGAAACTGCAGTAACGTTTGTTACAAATAAAAGTGGTAAAAAACATAGAAATTCTCATTTCTCTTTTCATTATGATCTTCTACCACGTAGTAACGGCTACATCCATCAATTTATATTGAATAATATTTACGCCTGACCTCGAGACTACAAAAATTGTGAGTTACAAGCAATTCATAATATGGTATTCCTACAGTATGATACGCGCCTTCAAGTTCAAAAGACATATATTTTAGGATTGATTCAGAACATGTGATGTTGTGATAGGGTTTCAAGTCATCTGCGTATAAGAAGAAATTAACATCAATCCCAGCTGTGATATCATTAATGAATATATTGAATAGTAGGGGTCCTAGATTTGATCCTTGTGGTACACCAGATGTGGTTATATTATCGATAGACTTGAGGCCATTGAGCTGAACGTACTGCTTACGGTTGTGAAAATACGATTTGAAGGGGGTAAATAGTTCATTGGATAACCTAAAAGTCGAAAGCTTGTTGAGCAAGATACTATAGTCAATTTCTTCGATTGACGACTTGTTTATTTTGTGGAAATTCATGTTCACTGAGGATACACTACAAAAACACACTTTTATCTATTTTCCACTATATTTCTTTTCACCATTTTCCCATTCTTGAAAATGGTGTAATAGCCGAAACCGGTCAATCGAAGAAGTGAAATCAACAAGTCGAGCAACACTGATGACAATGTATTATAGATTACAGGTGAAATATAATACAGTAGCCCTGAATCTGATGTTCAATAAAGAATGTGCTAAACTCAAGATTATACCTAACTATATCAAATACAAACTATGTGTAAAAAATTAAGTCACCTCTAGAATTCGACACAAAATCGAGAACATATGGCTGAAAGAACAGATCAAGACCAATTACAAAGCAAGTGTTTTGAAAATGGCGTAATAGCCGAAACCGGTCAACAATAAAAAAATATAGTGGAAAATAGACAAAAGTGTGTTTTTGTAGTGTATCCTCAGTATACTATAGTCGAGTCTGTCGAACGTTTTAGAAAAATCAGTGTAGATGACATCAGTCTGAGACTGACAAGCAATACTCTCTGCAATACATTGAGTGATTGTTACAAGATTGGTGGTGGTTGAACGTCCTTTCATGAAACCATGTTGATTGGGGCTAATAATGTTGCTGACATGACAATAGATTGTCTTCTCAAGAAGCATCTCAAACACTTTACGAAAGTTGCATATGATAGAGATTGGTCTGTAATTTTGTATCTCACTTTTATCTCCTTTTTTGAAAATTGGGCAGACTTTCGACATTTTCCATATTGATGGTACAGTTTCAGGCATAATTATATCAATTAGAGTTGTTAGTGGTTCAACCAGAGCTGAGACACAATCTTCAATGATGGAATATGATCAGGTTCCGCAGTGAATTTAGGCTTTAATTTTTTCAGGGTATGATAAACATCTTCAATACTGAAGTTATTGATTGCTAAGCTGGGAATATCACTACTGTTGTTCGCATGGTCACTCAATGTTGACACTTTATAAGAACCACTGAAGAAATCTGCAAAACCATCAAGAATATCTGAGGGATTATCGAGTAGCTTGCCTTCATGTAACATTTTATCTCCGATTCCATTCCTATGTTTTGACTTGTTAATGAATGACCAAAACTTATTGGGGTTATGGATAATCTCGCCCTCAGTTTTCTGAGAGCGACGCGAGACGCGATGTGATTGATACACGATTACCAAAACCTTCAGATGTCCATCTAATGAAATCATTGAAAAAAACAATATACGACTATTACAAAAGCAACTGAAATCATAAAGAAGAAATTGAATACTTCCGGTCATAACGTGAGCTGCTGTGAGAAAACTCTTCAGAAATGGATAAAGAAACTAGGATTCAGATTCAAAATAATAAACAAACATCAAGCAGTTATGGAAAACAGAAGAATAGCGGAATTTCGTAATAAATACTTAGAAAAAAACTGAATGAAGACCAGAACAACGGAATTTTTTTTATCTAGACGAAACTTGGTATGACACTCACGACACAGTCACGAAAGGGCGGACTGATGGTTCGAGAATGTATACGCCTAACATGCCTGCAATTTTTCAACTATTTGCTCGGCAACTTGGATCAATTGTAAATCACACTGGGTGGAATTACGAATCGAATGACACATGTCTCATAATTTTCTGTGCACTTCCATGAATCACAAGAGTCATACCTACTTGATTCATATCACTAGCCATAACACTTATAGGTCAGGTTATATGAAATTATCGGTATTGCATTTCATTTGTTGTTTTAGGATAAACATTCACTATGGAGGGATGCGAAGATGTAGTTACATCAAGAATAAGTTTGAGAGACCTTTCCGGATTGAGTGAGAGCTGCTTTGACGAAGAAGTTACTTCAGTCTCGTCCACGTATCATGATGAAAGAAAGTGGAGACTGTCCTATTTGAAAGTAAGTCATTCGTTCAGCTTGTTGCAAAAACTAAATAGCAGTATTCCCTGACGATATATCAAAGTAGGAAGGAGTTTGTTTGAGGAGCATAATTTTTAGTACTTCTCAAAGAGAGAGAGAGACAGAGAGAAATGTTTACTCATTTGTGGTTTTAACAGTATATGTTATACAGGGCTTTTCATGATGAGCGTTAATTAGCCGTTTCTGACAAACTATTTTAACGGATCGATCTGAAAATTTCACAATATGCATAAATCAATATGAACTTCACGCCTAAAATATTTCAGACAAAGTGTCGTTGTCGCTTCTACTATAAAGTAGCGGCTTCTTTGATTTTCCAAATGGAACACCCCGTATATAATATCATATTATGATTCATTATCACTTTGTCAACAAATTCATATACTATTTCCCT